AAGACGCTAATGCGGTCCTCTGATTGGTTCGTGACATCTTAAGACTGAACTTAAGGCGGTCTTGAATATAAGAACTGACTATGAATACGGCCTTTGATCATCAAAGATAACAAGATTATTACAGACTGATTCCATAAAAATCTTTCTCGTTATTTATCGTTTTATTTCAATCACCCCAAGAATCATAAAATAGAAACTACCTAATAGACCATTCTATTTTACTATCTCACCCTATATTTTTAAATAAAAATATCGAGTTGTAGTGCAATCCCATATGGTGCGGAATTGACGCACTGAACTATATATACACTGGAATGGGCATCTCCGCTGTGAAGCATAAAAAATCGTGGCCGCAATTGATCAACCGCCATTTTGATTGAGTCAAATATTTGAGCGAATCAGAAGTTTTCAGGTGCTCATGCGCACTTACGTTTAGTGTTCTTAATAGCGTTTTCAGCTTAGACGAAGAGTAAGTTGAACCGAGATTAAAATTAATCTATATTGGTAGAAATGGGCATTAGTGTTCTTAATAGCGTTTTCAGCCCGACCGGGTTTGCACCAACCTGGGTTGGATTAATGGCGTTTTGCGCTCTCCTATTGGTAGAGCGTGTGACATCAACCAATAGGAAAGATTAATCCAACCCAGGTTGGTGCAAACCCGATCGGGCCGAAAACGCTATTAGAATAGACGCATATGGCATGTGAGACGACGATCGTCTACCGACGTGATCGGACGTGTTATTGCGTCATCATTTTTGGAAAGTGTGACCGGCTTCAAACACGCAATTGAGTTTACGTTACTGTTTTAAGCTCATTCTACATAAAGCTGGTTCTACATTAGTCGTATCGCAGCATCGCAAGCGTTGCTGTCCAATAAACATCAAGCTAGTTCGACTCTGATTGGACCTCAACGCTTGCGACACACTTGCGACGCTGCGCTGCGATTAATGTAGAACCAGCTTAAGCTGCAGAACGCAGGTCGCAGGTCGCAAGTGAAACGTATTTCAGGGGCTCTATTCTTGAAAAGAAACGTATACGAAAGTCTAGGGAAATGCTACAGTATACGTTACGTATACTATAGTATCCCTAGACTTTCGTATACGTTTCTTTTCAAGAATAGAGCCCCTGCTGCTTAAGATGTCTGCATAGCATAAAAAGTTCGTCTTTACGGATTTTTCGACGTCTTGTGTCTTATGCTTTATGCGCTATGCAAGATCTACAGAACGAGAAATGGGAATGGAAATAAGGGACTCTGATTGGTTGATTCGCTTATGCACTATGCCTTATGCATTACGCGAAAGTCTGTGTCGCGGCCTTTAGAGAATCTCTTGCGTAAAAATTTGACCACCGTGTCTCTATCTATTGGAAAAATACCAAACTAAGATGCGCATAATTACCTGCTGCACATAGTTCCCCCATTTTCCCCTATATGTTATATGCGTGTTTAAAAATGAAATCCAAACTTTAAAATTTGAAACCTCGACACTGATACAAAACATTAAAAATACAACTTCGTTTGATACTTTACAAACTTTTCATGATTTTGGTTTAATTGAGTTGATTTGGTTTAATTAATTATATGCTAACATTTTTTTTATTAATATTAATGAATTGTTCTTTGAATATTTCTCATTTTTCCCGTTTCTACTTTTGTGTAAGAGATGTTTCTGTAAGTTAAAATTAATAAAAAGTTATGTGATGTCAACTATGGGACAGGAACAATTATCCAGTATTTCAATTGAATATATTATATAATATTGTTAATAATATTAATTTTGATATAATTGATAAGCTGACAGAAATGAAAG